AGGCTGCAAAATTAATCTGGCACAACGTGGCCTCTTACTAGAGGTCGAAGCCCCCACAAACACATACAAAGTGTTGAGATGTGTGTGTAAATAACAACATGGGTATTGACTGCAAATTAGAGCCATGACAAGTGGACGAGAATCGAATAATTGCAGTATGTCAGTCTGCCAAAGCATTTACATGCATTAAAACTTTCTTTTTTTTCACCAAAGGATTAATACTGCTACCGTGTTAATTTTGGCAGCACTCGTTGAACCATAGCAACAAAAATACTTACAGACTGGAGAAGAAAACACCTGCAAACAGTCTGCAATAAAGTTACTTTTCAGACTCTTGACTACACAGCATTATTTTATTCTTAAAATATCAAAAGACATGGTCAATTTTGTTACATAATCAGCATTTATAAGTTCTTTCACTGCTCGGATTCCTGCTCCAGGCTCAAACCTCAGTATATGGGGCGGGAGAATTTGAGCCAGGGCGTGATGAATACTAAACTGCCATGAAGTTAGCGAGTCTAGGCCACTGTGGAGAACGAGCCACCCATAAAGTTTATTTAAAGGTTTATAATCTTTTAATTGCTTCACATTCTTCCCAATCAAACTGGTTTTATCAACATCTGTGAGGATACACTCCTGTCTCTCAGAAAGTAGGATACCAAAGCTCGGACCAAAGAAGACTGAGGGCAGACCAAAGACCTGACTTGCACTCATCTCTCTCACTCTGACTCACGCTTAGTTGCTCACCACCCACCAACACAGTGAAACCTCAGTCCCAATGCCAGGTTTTGTCACTGGGCAGAGAAGCGGTTGGCTACAGTAAAAGCATGACGTGATGCCCCTTCCTCTGTACTCCCCCAGCCTGTGCAGCAACAGAGGGGTAAAAATATCCCTCCACCGAGTTCAGACAACCGGCTCATAAATTAACACTAAAACTCCTGCAGACAACAGCAGGCCAGTCGCTGAGAGATTTAAACCACTCAGGTTGCCAATGACCACAGCTTCAGGATCAGCTTACAAACCCCCTTTCCTAAATTTACCCATTAGGAGGTGGTGAACAAGAACCAACTCTAGATCAGTTTTCATATTAGTCACTATTTAGCTGTCCGCTAACAGTAAACTATTCTTCCAAATGGCTTGAGGTGCTTTGCTCCAAAAAATGTTATGAGGTGAGCTATAGACTTCCATTCCTTCATTTGAAAATGTGTCCCTAATGGCCAACGCTTTTTGAAAACAAGGGATGTTAGAGTGGAATTCACTGAAATTGTTGTAGGGTTTTAAAAATCATGAAATGCAAATTCTCACCACTTTTTAGCAAAAACACAATGTTCCGGCAAAAAAAACAAACAAACACAGAAAACAGCAGAACAGTGGCAATGATCCCCTCTAAAGAAACTCAGCTCTGTAATGGACGAACGGGGATTACAGATGTTAAAACCTTCTCCATCTGTAATTCACTGTCACACTCCCATCATCTCTGAAACACTGATCCATTCTGCAAGTGTGCAAGACCATGCTAAAAGCATCAGGGCTGCACCCATTTGTGTTTGTAGTGGCGCGGGGAAAGAAAATATAATGCTGAGAAGACAAGTTAACAGCTCACTGTGCTGTTTCAAAGCACTCTGTGTCCTGTAACAACCACCTAGTTAGTTTCCAACACAGGATACAAGACACATGATCAAATACAGATTTTAATGAACAACAGCGGCTGCAGCCTGAGGAATAGAACTAGATTTGACTGGTTTGTCACCATCAAAAGAAATTTTAAAAAATCGTTGATGTTTGTTTTACATACAATTTAGATTGGTTTTATTTCTATTTGATAAAAAGGAAAATAAGAAAGCAATTGGCCAACAAGGCCATGGTCATATGGCAACCTGACATTATACTGAAACATAATAAAAAATGTTCTCCTCTGAAGTCTTTCCTCCAGGAGCCTCTCTGTGGGAGGGAGAGTAAATAAGATGTCATCAATAATAGACAGTGAATGTTCGGAGCACTTCTAACACACACATACACACACATGGGCGCATGCACACACACAAACGTGCACAGCTCCAACTGATTCCTATCCTGCAGACAGGCCTGCCAACTGCCAGCCTCTTTGCACACGCTCAGATTCACTGTCCAGACTAATCGCTTGTGATAGGGGCCTTTGCCATAATTACCCAGGGCCTTATCACAAACTTATGTGATGCATTTTTCATGTTCTGGCTGCTGGCAGTGCCTTCACTGTCTGTGCTGGCAGTCTATCCACAAAAAGAAGACTGATCTTAGACAAATTCCACGCACTCGCACTGATTTAAACGGGGTGAAATGGGCAAGAGCGGGGTAACGGCCAGAAGAGCAAGAAACAACAAAAGAGAAGGGAAAAAATTAAAAGGGATAAGAGCAGAGTGGGAGGGAGTAAAAGATTGTTGGGGGGGGCTGATAGTGCAGGAAAAGAAAAGAGAAAGCAGTCACCAATGTTTTACATAATGCATGAACAAGGGGGCACGAGTAGGAGGACCAAACTGAATCAAATAAATAGAAGAAGTGAAGCCTTGATGATGTGGCATAAGTGCAACACAAAGCACACTGGGAAAATTTGTTCACTGTCCTTTTGTCTACCCGGTCATAGGGGGCATCGTGACCTAAATTAAAGTTTAAGTCTCAAGCCCGAGTGATCTACAAAATAATGTATGGACAATTGGGTTGTAGCCTACATAATGTAATCTTATGTTAATGACTGCAGCGGCTGGACCACTAATATTCATAAACTGTGATTTGAAATTCAACAATGCATGAAAAATGCCACAGGAAAACACAACTGTGCCATTGTCTACATGTCTTGTGATAGGTCATAGAGGCTCAAATACACACAGACCATTTTCACGCACACTGAATGGGCTGAATATTTTTCCTCATTTCTTCTACTATGCCATGGACATCTGTGCACACAGAGATTAGTAGAGTGCGTGAGACTGGGACATTTCTGGAGTTCATCTTAACCAACAAGGTCATGGCCAAAGGTCAGCAGATATGGGTTCTTCAATGGCCAATCTGTAGAAATCAAGGCAACCAAAGACTGGTATGGTGGGTTGATTTTTTCGACTCTTTAGCCATTTTCTTTTCTTTTTTTGCAAGATCTGACAAAAACAGCAGTAAATGAACAGTGGTGTAGTATACAGGAAATAGTTAAACTAATTTCTGTGTAAAATGGTTGAAGTAAATTTTTATAATTTACAGTTCCTAATACAAAAAAGGTAACCTTTACAAATATATAATTATGACAGGTTGCTTCAATTTAGTGTCCATAATTATAAGGCAATATATTTCACTTGTCCACATTTAGTCTTCTGCTGTTTTTGTTTCACTGATAATTATTCACAAATTGTCAATATTTAATTTAAGGCTACAGGAAAGTGACGCTATTAAGCTCCATTGTGACTTAAGTCCGGCCAGAGTTTGTACTTTGTTGTACTGGTTATATAGAGGAAAAGTCAGACATTAAAGGTATGGGCAGACTGATGGGAAAAAAATGCAAGGAATATGGCAATCCAAAAGAGCCATGGTAGGAAAAAAATGTGAGCATGTTTGCAAAAGACCTGCTGAAATTTTACCTCCATCTCCCAAATACGCATCTCATGTCACATATTAACATGTAGTAAACATGTTTTATATATACATTTACAAGCACAAATTGTGAGAAACTAACACACTTTCATAATAAGTGAAAACCCCTACTGATAGCACCTGGAAATAAAAGTTGCAAGGTTGAAATTATTTAGCATCACGTCACTAAGAAATAATACACTTAACTTTAGGACTTTCTATGTATTATTAAAATGTTGCTTTATTTTCAATAAAGCAACATTTTGACTAAACGTTTTTTATATTATAAATATCAACTTTTTACAACACAAAATATAAAAAACAGTTTTAAAGATAAATCGTCATTTTAATTGCAAAAACTTTTGAAATGGTAACTATTTTATCTGTAATGGAATCTCTGAGGCTGTTCATAAGGTTTTGGGTCTTGTAAAAATATAAATGTAATATTAAGTGCTTTTAATCTGCCTTATTGAATCGCATCGTACCTTACTTTTGCAATGATGAGGTCTAAACTTAGCGCCACCTACTGCTTAGGTGTATAAACTAATTTTTAATACCTGCCTAACGTAAACAGCAATTGTTCAACACAAAATGCACATTTACAATTTTCGAATGAAAACCTGAATAAAACCGAGGAATGTGTATTTTTAAGAACACGGAAAATAACATGTAGATCATTAATATTTTTACTTAATTTCACCGCATCACCAAACACTGTCCCGTCCACTTCTACAGACGTGGCACCGTCTGTAAAAACCTCTCTGTGTATAATAGCCGTCAGAGGGGACACCGAGGGAAAAAACACGACCGAGTTATTCAACCATAATCACAGAAGCGACTTCAATATAAGTGCTTCTTAAACCGTTAGCTATTAATGTTGCTAATGTTTCCAATAAACTTAAAACAATCCGTAAAATGCAGAAAAAACATAAGCAGAGCGGCGTTTGTGTGTCTGTGCTGCCCGTCTGAACGGCTGGTGTCACTACAGCGCCACCGTATAATGAGTCGCACTTATTTTTCCCCCTAAATTATCCAACCTTACAACGGCTACAGCGTCGGGCTAACTATGGCTACTCGCTCCACTAAAAGTTCAAGAACACGCAATAAACATAGTGAACCAAAAGCTTCCCCCGAAAAGCTCCGTCGTTTTGTTTTTATTTCAGCGCATCCCCGCGGCGTCGCCTCGGCTTGCCCAGTAGCAGTGTCCGATCGATGTTGAATTGAACAAAGAGGATCAATTTCTGATCAGCGAGAGAGCCACTTTCATCAATGTGAGCCCTGGCTCCTGAATTCTCCTCCGAAACACACGCCAGACGGTCGCCCGAATCACCCCACACAGCCGCCGAGAGAGAGAAAGCAGCCGCGGCGAGCCGAGGGTAGACGCTTTAAACAGAGACTCAACTGACCTGTAGTTGTTGTAAGTCAAAGCGCTTCCAATATTGAAACATCGATCCTGCATTGGCCGCCATCTTGAGACATATTGAGACAGGAATGAGATGCTGATAGAGAGCGCGGGGGTTGGAGTTCAGTGGAGAGGATCGGGCGGTCATAAGACCCGGGACGGATCGCTGCCTCTGTCCATCCCGGATGCAGTTGTCGTACGGAACGGAGTCGACGTAAAGAAGGGTTGCCTTAATAACGCCATTATAATTACTTAAATAGCATTTTATCAACACTCACATATTACAGGTAAATAACCGAGCTAATATTGAATTACTCTTACTTTTATTACCCCTAAGTAAACATACTTATAAAGGCAAATGGGTGTTTCAACACGGATCACAAAGATCACAGTAATTGTTTTTGCACTAGGAAGCTATTTCTTTGAACAAAAAGGAGAAAATACGTTGGAACGGGGTTTTCCTTTGAATCTTTTGACAACAGATAGTTATTAATTTTTTTTAGATTACTGTTTCTGTAAATTAATGACGAGCGTACTTTCTTCTTTGCTTTCTATTACTGTAAAGTGAGTACAATATAATTTACATTGCGGACTCCACTGAACATTTTCCACAATGTTTATTTTATGTGTATCTGTTTCATTAAATTTTTTTTTCAAATGAACATCTGTTTCATTAAATTTTTTTTTCAAATAATCTATTTTTAAAAATGTGTTTTAGTTTTGGGTTAATCAAGTCATTCTGATGGAACAAAATGAAAAAATAAGAAGATTTATCAATTAAAAAATGTAAGTAAATAAAGATAACAGTTTATAAACATGGGTAAGCCTGAGATAAAGCATGTCGGTATTAAACTAATTTTACTGTGTACATAGTCTGTGGAACTATTTTTCTGTGATCGGATTAAGTTTGTTTTGTGTTCTTCTCAGCCCGGTGTTTTTTGTGTCAGTTTGTATACATATGTCATAAAAAAGTGACCTTGAACAACCTAACTGAGCCCCAGCAGCTCCTCGGGCGTCAGTCCTGCTGGCCGTGACCACTGACCCTCTCAGTGATTGGATGTTCCTCTGAGGGAAACACAGTATTACTAATCACACTGTATATATAAAGTGTCCTGAATTTCCGTGTCAACCTGTACAGCCCTTTGCAATTTAAAAAGCCACATTGCTTTTTGCGTCAGCTTCTAACCACTCGATGCACCAGACTATTGTGGAGCTGCTCAGGTTTATCAGTCCGCCACATCTGGTGTGCACATTGTTTTCATTTTTAGATTCGTGTGGCTTCCTAGGTTTGACTTGCCGAGTGTGATGCAAAGCCATTCCGTGTGGAAACTGACGCTGGTATTTTTTTCTCCTCTTTTCTTTTTCTCCAATAATTTTCATTTCTTCACAGCCATTAGACTCTAATTACATTCACTAAATATAACACAAGAATTTGCCGTAGATAATGACCTCGCTCTCTCTGCCCCTGGTCGGATACAAAGGTGGGCATTTTGGTTCTTTGTGTTACCTCGACTTTCAGGTCACTAATTGACATAATTTGAAAGCATTCTGCATCTCCCTGCTTTTTCATTATGAATGGTGCTCAGTGATAAATGCTCAAAGCTCTTTGCATTCTTTTATTACTAATTTTATACACTATGCACTACATTTAAAATTTAAACCACTAAAGAACAATCATCTTTTCAGGGGTAGCAACATCAGATACTACACATATGTGATTTGCAAGGTTTTTTACCTTAGATGCCTATCCTGACACAACATTCCTTGTTTATCTGGGGCTAACGTTATAGTCAGTAAGGTTTAGTGCCTGGCTCAGGAACACATTGGCACAAATCTTACATCTAAAGTGTGACATTGTGTTTGGAAAAACCCTCCTCTGCCCACTGATCCACATCTGTCCCTTTAAATGCCACAAACCAAGTCATTTAAAAAGGCTGAGCCAGTTTAACAAATCATTATGAATGAAGACGCAGCAACATGATTCATGTTTGTTTTGGCTTGACTTGTTGCCATTGAAACCACATCAAAAGTGTCTCCTGAAAGTCTGTGACTTGTTGATCTTGACTTAGATACGACATGTAATAAATACTCTGCTGAAAAGTGGTTTTTTATCCTTTAAAAAAAATACAAAGGTTGGTACTCAAACTGATAGATCCCATGTCCAACCCTCTCTGGACCAGTTTAAGGTGTTTCCGTCTCTTGACCTGCTTGACTTGTGATGTTACCTGTCGCAGCGCCAGACCAGAAATACAGGTCTGAGATAATCCACAGAGGCGTACTAACTCTGCACTGTGACCATTGTGGGATTTTTTTTTTTATTACAACGACAGAACACGTAGACAGTAGAGAAAAAAAGTTTTTTAAGTCATTATTTTGAATTCAAATAAACACACTTTTCCACCTGACCCCAGCTTCGTCAATTCAGTTATAGTTAGAAACAGAGCTAAAAATGTACAAACAGTACTTTGTCATCATGTTAGACATTCTTAATACTCCAGGGTTTTTTTTGTACCTCCCAAACCACAGCCTCTCTTCGTGTCTTTTATTTTAATTAAGGTCTGTTTTAGTCCATGACAACAAACTCAGTGAAGTTTTATGCTAATGTGTCCCTGGATAGGACACTTAACCACAACTTTGTCCTGCCAGCTGTCTCATAACATCACAAAAAACTGACCTCCTGAATTTAGAGAATCACACGTTGTCAGAAGATCACGGGTTTGAATCCCACTAAGCACCAGTTCTGTACAATGACAATAAAGGTACCATACTCTGAGCTACTATACATTAGGTTGAGAACATTTTTTATTTTTTTCTGACATTATTTATCAGATCTTTCATCCAAAAATAAACAAAAAAAGGTTCCATCGTTCAAACACAGCAGGATGTACGTAGTCTTGGTTTGAACGAGTAAAAATGAGTCTGAACTATCAATTCATCCATAAATTATCCTCTTCCTGCCATTGAAGCTCACACTTGTCTATGAATGACTTGTGTGGGCTTTTCCCCCCGCGCTTGTCTTTTTATTACAACATATGGTAAAATTAAAGAGGAGACAAAACTGTGTAAATTGTTCATGACAAGGACAATAAAAGAAACATGGTGAGGCCCATAAAATCAGCCTTGTCAGTTCATGTGCAGTATATTTGACTTAGCTTTAAATTTTAAAACGTACAACCAGATCTTTTTACGCTTACGCAGCCATGGGGCATACAAGGAAACTGCTCCTTTCGGCTTTTGCTTCCACTCCTTTCTCTGTTTCTGTGTCCCTCTTGGTCTTTGGCCTTGAAGGTGCTTTTAGCTGGCCCTAGTGTGGCCAGGTTAGAGATGAATGTGTGGCCCTTGGGAGCTGCAGGCAGAGTGCAACACTGATCATGTCAGACAGGCCGAGGAGGCTGTATAAGATCATCATCGCCCAGCAGTGGAGTGAATCGCCGCAGTGGCACTTTCACACAACCTATGACCTCTGTCCTAACCCCCGAGGTCATGATCAATGTCAAGGGTCAGAGAGGGCCTCCGTGATCCATGAGACTAAAGACCCCTCCACCCTCGTCCTTTTTTCTTTACATTTTCTCCTTCACCTTTTTTTTTTCAACTCACCATTTTTCTCTTCCCCTCATCTCATATCTGTTTCTCTATCGCTCACACTCTCCTTTTCTGGCCCGGACCGATTGAGACATCCCATCCCCTGGGAGTGCAAAAAGGAAAGCAAGAGAAAATCAATAGGAAAGATGAGTGAAGACCTGGGGGTCCCATCAAAAACTGAATGCATCTCTCTGTGCTGGAATGACTCGCACAGCTAGAAAAACACAAGATACACAGTGGCATCACTTATGTGATTCAATAGGACAGCGGTAAAGGCAAAAAAATGTTCACAACTACAGCAAAGAGTATATTTATCCAGTTAAGTCATCATTATTAAGTACAATCATACAGTAGAAAAGGCACTGCAGCTTACAAAGTGGAAAATAAAGAGCACAAGAGGGGGAACAAAACAACCATTCCATGGAGATTTAAAGTCTGTGAGGTTTGACGACAAAAGTTTTTTTCTTGCTAGAGAAAGGAAGAAAGATGGAGCTCACATAAATGCCAGGCTCACTGTTTGTCTATGGCTGTAATTTGAGCCGAGCAAAATGTCACCACATTATCAATCTGTCCTGCCTTAATTATAGCATTCCTCCAGCAGCATTTGCACGCTTTGGTGCTGTATATGATTAGAACCAAGAGAAAACGCATCATAAACAAAGAAGTAAGAATCCATATGTTTCACTCAGCTTTGTCTCTCACTGGCTCTGTCAAAAGATCAGTGGGGTTTTTTTTACCACTTCTCTTAACGTGCAATGCTTTATATTAAACCTGTGCTTTAAAGCAGGGGTAGGATTTTCACCACACAGCATTTAAATACATGTTCTAAATAGTGTTGTAGCTTCATTTATTACATTGACCCTGGAACTCAGTTTTGGCATCAATTCTTCATCTTTCCTATGGGGGCAGTGTTCAGTGGGTTAAAGGGTTCTAAAGAGTTCTTGCAGAGACATCTTTGTGTCCACTTATTTTTGCTCTCACAGTCAATATACACTGTTATTTACACACACAAGAAGAAAATGTTTTGGTTTCACTGAAGCACCTGAGGCCTGAAATACCAACCAACGTATCCACAGCTCGTAGGATTCTGTGCTTTTACCCTAGAAAAACCCCGGGCAGGACATGAACTGATTGGCTTAAAATAGAATTGTTCTGTTAAAAGGGATGATAAATAATGCAGAAAGAAGACATAACCTCTCATGAGCGAAACTCCAACTAACGTACACACACACACACACACACCAATGCATGCACAGATGCACAAAGAGACGTTTTTTCACTGGATGGTGAAGAAAAGTGAATGGATGTCACAGGAAGGAGGAGGACCCAGCGGAGGAGACACACATGCTTCTTGCTTCATCTCCTCCCACTGCTCCTCGTTGGATGTTTGTTTCCCCTCTCACTCACGTTCAGACTTCATGACATCCTCTGTGTCTGCGGGGGGAAATCATGTTGTCCCTATCACAGCGTGTTCTTCCTGCCCACCAGGGCTCGCGCTCAACACACAGCGCAGGCTCTCCAACCCTGTCACCTCATCATTCTTTCATAGCTTTTCATCAGAATCCATCCACACCAGGACAGGAACCTGGAAGGCCGATCACCAGTACACAAACAGCACCACTGTCTGATGGCTTTTTCTTCTCTCCCCCCCGTCTTATTCTTCTTCCTGCGTGGGCTTATTCTAAAACACCAAAAACATTTAGTAACTTTTACATTTCTCCTGACAACGCGGAGCCAACTCGAATCAATAAAACATCCAGGACAAACCTATTCGAAGTCTCCCTGCATGGTTAATTTACAGCTAAAATATTTATTCTTTGGTCAAATTAAACATGTATGTTGGGAGACGACTCACCGTGTCGACCCACTCTGCGGGTAACTTTGAATATGTGCGTAGAGACACCTAGCGGTAAGGAGCCTGAATAGCATCTTGCTTTCACTGTTCACTGTTTCATCAAACTAACAAGAATAAAAGCTTTAAATACCATTTTAACGCTTCCTTCAAGAAGTTTCACTGCCGTTTTACGCATCATTAGATGGAAAAATAGAAAAATGGAAGCCCAGACATTTGATGTTTTGAGTGCAGGCCTAAAGCAGTGATTCCTAAAGATCATACCTAAAGATTTCTAACCTGTATAATATAATGATAAATCGTTTATTAATCAATATTTAATATTACAATTTTTATTAGTTTTATATTTAGTTATCTATCTCTCTATCTATCAAAATAATATATATTATTTCCATACCAACACACAGAACATGCAAACTCCATGCAAGAGTATTTTCTTCCGGAGATTATTTAAATTACTTGCTGCACTTCAGTGTTTAAATTACTATGATGACTTACATTTGCACCAGTGCTGCTAAAATAAACTATATTAATAATAATAATACCTTTTATTTCATAGGCATTTTCTGTCACCTTGCACATCATTCTTCCTTTTCGTCCAATTGTCTTCACATTTATACTTTTGACATGTAAATGTTTGTTTGTAGAACTGCTCTATGCTTGTTTAATTCCCCACAGGGCACAAATAAAACGATTTAACTGAAATGAGTCATCATTGAGCATGAAAATGTTTTGTTCTTGCTGTAAGGCACACGTCTCAAATTCAAGGCCCGGGGGCCAAACTGAGCCCGCCAAGTCATTTGTATGGTTCGTGGGAGCTTTAAAAGCATTTAATAAACTCCAGGCAGCAGAGTTTTTTTATCTAGATAAATTAAGTTTTTTATTACACAATTTTCGTTGGAAAATACACCTTTCCTTTGTACACAATGTGAAAGTGAGTTGAGTTAATATTAGCTCGTCTCCAAGGCTTGAGCTCACAGCATCTGGACTCCTCCCTTGACCAATGTGTTTACTCAAACAGTGTCTTGGCCCCGGACGCTGCAGGCCTCACCACCGCCTGACAAACGCCCTATTCAAGTGGAACAGGAACTAGATCCAACACTGCCACGTCAAAAATCCATGAGCATTTAGCACCGGGTAAATATTACCTTCTTAACAAGGACACCTGGCAGCGCTGTGGAGGACACACTGGAGGGAGGACAATGCAGGGAGTCAAGTTTAAGGACAGTGGGTCCTTTGTCTTTGCCTAAACTTTCGTAATAGAAACTGCATGCTTATCTGTGTGTTATAAAGCAGGTCACGTGGGAGTGTCGGCAGCCTGTGGTGATTGATTGTTGTCCTTAAGTTTCCTGCTTCCTAGTAGTCTACAGACTCAGACATTTTGAACTTGTGCTAAAGTGTAACTCGCTTGTTTGCTACTCATGAGAGAGAGCAGCAGACATGATGTGCTGCTCTCGTGTAGAAAAATGCGCACTTGTGCGTGTGTGGCCACGCTCGTGTTTTCGTTATTCCTCGGACTCTGCCTGCTCTTCCTGCCGGAGCCCTTTACCTCTCAGCCGCCGAAGCAGCGACACGAGCCGGTGACGCTGCTGGTCTGGACCCATCCGTTCCATCGACGCCAGGACCTCCCTGACTGCTACGAGCTCTTTCACATCAGCGGCTGCGCGCTCACGGACGACCGACGCGAGTACGCGCACGCTGACGCTGTCGTCATACACCACCGAGACGTCGTCCTCGGTTCCGACGAACTGCCGCCAGAACCGAGGCCAAGTGCGCAGAAGTGGATCTGGATGAACTACGAGTCTCCCAGCCACACACCGCAGCTGTGGCAGCTGGAGGGCGTGTTCAACTTCACGTTGAGCTACCGGACAGACTCGGATATATTCCTGCCCTACGGCTACCTGATCCCTCGCACACACGGAACCCGGAGTTCACTGGGCCGCCGCGCACACCTGCTCCACAGACCATCCAACAAGGACCTCCGCCGGCCCCACCTGGTGGCGTGGGTCATCAGTAACTGGTCAGAGACTCACGCACGCGTGGCCTTCTACTACCAGTTGCGCCGCTACATCGATGTGGATGTGTTCGGACGCGCGGGTCAGCCGATGGAGGACAGCAGCAAGGGGAGTGTGGTGCGGTTACTCGGCCGATACCAGTTCTACCTGGCGCTGGAGAACTCGCTCCACACAGACTACATCACGGAGAAGCTGTGGAACGCGGTGCAGGCCGGTGCCGTGCCGGTAGTCCTGGGTCCGGACAGGAAGAACTACGAGCGCTTCCTGCCCCCGGAGGCCTTCATACACGTTGATGACTTCCCTACGGTGCGCGGGCTCGCCCGGTACCTGCTGATGCTCAAGCGTAACCCGCTGCTCCTGAGGAGGCACCTGGACTGGAGGGGCGACTACGCCCTGTACCGACCCGTCATGTGGTCAGAACACTACTGCTTAGCCTGCAAGACGACCAGGAGGGGCAGAGGCAGGACCCAGGTGGTCCGAGACCTCACTAAGTGGTTTTACTCGTGAACACATCATCACCAGCAGGAGCAGGAGGAGCGCCTGCTGCTGGGGACATCACTGTGTCCAGGAAGTCCAGACCACAACTGTATCACAAAGAGATAAAACTCTGACATACATGGTGAAAAAAACTATTAAAAAATCAATTCTACATTAAAAAAAATAAATGTATTGTTAATGTAAGACGAGGCTGGTGGTCCTCGTCTTACCTTAATCCCAGGTAGTCGCTGTGTTTGCACAATCTGTCCTTCAGAAACATGCAGGATTAGATCAGTTATTCACTGTAAATTATTTGTAGGTGTCAATCATTTGACCCTGTGAGTCTTACCCTGCCCCCCCACCCAATAACAGCTGTAATTGGCCCCATATTCTCCTACCACCTTGATGACAAAGCACTTAAACAACAACAACAACAAAAACTCATCAGTGAGTGAATTGCACTTTGAGACGTTTACTGCCGTCCATGCTTTTGTTGTCATTGGAGGATCTAGTTGTCAATCACCACAGTTAGAAACCAAACCAATACAAACAAATACGTTCACTTCATTAAACCATGGTGTGTATCTTGGCTAACTTGGTGAATCCATTTGATAATTTTTCCAAGCTGTTTTCTATTTGTTGTATTTTGTTTTCTAAAATTGTATTTCTTTTGTTGTCATTCCATGCTGATTTCCCAGGTTTGTCAACTGTACTGGACTATACTCCACCGATCAAACACTGTTTTTCTTTCTTTTTCACCCACACTAAGGTTCACTGTTGAGGCTAGAACTAATTGGGAATGAGAACCGTCAAGTGCTGCTCTCCTAGAAGTCACTAATGTGTTATATTATTAACATGTTTAATTTACAAATGGTCCAGTGAATCTGAGCATCTGTAGCTGCTGCTAATTTCAACGGGCTATAGAAACAGGTGTACGTAATAAATGTTTACAATCGTCTTCAGGACTCCTTTAAAGTCTGAATTCTATGATAAAATATATTTATTTATTTTAAGACTCAATGTGATTTCATGCTGATGAGTGGCCTTTGGTGGTTTTTCAACTTTTTGGTGTTTTTCTTTTGGAAATAAACAGACTTAAATTGATAAATTGATAATTATTTTAAAATATTCTGTCTTTGTTATTTCAGGGTTGATGTCTGACTTAAAATAATACAGTATTAAACTCTATAATAATGTCACGTGGTTACCATTGCAAATGTGTTCACACTGAACCACAGTCATTGAAGCCAATACAGAGCCAACGCCTGCTAACATATATATACAACCCTAGGGTTTGCAGCTGAGCTGCGTCAGTCGTAGCCTCCCTGAACTGAGAGGTTTGTCTGTGAAGTCTTAGTGTAGCGTTACGTAAATCAAACTGGAGCTCAGCTCCTCACTACAAAACACAAAACAGTGTTTTCTGACACAGCATATTTTCATTGCTCATAGAATAAAAACCGACTCCTGACTTGACGAGGCAGTTGGCGAACCTGTGCTCTTCAGATGGCGCTTGATGGAACCAGACGCTGTGATGCAGATCATTTCCATTTACACCTCTGTCAGTGCCAAGACACAGAATTAACACTTAGCACTGTCAAATGATATCATTCCCTGCAGGGACAGTGGCAGCGTGTAACAGTAATATGCCTCATAATGAGCTGATGTCTCAACAGCTGTTCAAACCCCTAATGTCTATCAGCAGTAATGCCTTCAGATGGCCACACAGTCAGAACCCCCCCACCCCGCCCCCCGACCCTGTCATTATCCAACTAATTTCCAATATAGGGACTTATGAACATATCTAGTTACTGTGAACACAGTCATGTCCAGACTCCAAGCTAACCTTTCAAATAGATCCCCTAAAAGTCTGGCCTGCATCTCCACGAACCTTCACACTGTCCTTCAAACGGTCCATTACACCTTGTCCGCTGGGCTGCATGTGGCGTCGGCCTGGACAGAGCAGGTGCTGCACAGTCGGCACTGTGTAAAAACAAAACAAATAGCTTTGTTTAAGGAGGTCATCTGATCAGACACAGAATTCAAACCATAGTGCTGTATAGTGACAACAGAATCACAGCAAGAAGACAAAACATGTATCAACTCTGTCAGCATCAAACCACAATGGAAAAAAATAACGTGTTTTTAACAAAAGATTTAAAAACAGGAAGTGTCTGACGCTCAGGGCTTTCCACAGCAAAGGAGCGATCAGACCTGAGCTTCAACCCTGGTTTTGGTGCAACCATGAGCAGCAGCTGATCAACTGACGTCAGTGTCCCGTGGCAGAAGGTCGGACAGGTAAAGAGGAACCTGACCACTCAAACATCTGTATGGCCGTAACCAGTGAAGAGAGGATGACACAGGAGAAAGGAAAGAAATCGATGGAATCGACGGAATTACTGTGCCAAAAACCTCTACCAAACAGTGACAGAATGGACAGTAAAACATGCTAAACTATACAGCTTTACCAAAGTGAATCCCTGTACGACCTGTGTCGGTCCGTAGGTCATTTGGTACCGGGCCGCAGTGGTACACAGTGACAAAATGGGCTTCAGTTTTACTAATGCACTTCATTCCAAAAGAATCCAGTCATATCCCTTTACTCTATTCATTCAAAGATAATCTGTCAATGTTTCAAAACAACAGCTCATTCAGACACTGATTGAATAAAGTCTAAAAGGTGTTTTATTTTGAAAATGGAATGATCCTTCAACAATGGTATTACAGGTCCACACTAACGGCTGATTCTGGCCAATAGGGTCTCGTTAGAGAAAAGGTTGGGGATCACTGACATATAATATCTTTATGGTTACGGTTTAGACAGATTTAACAGTATTAAAAAGTGAGACTAAAGAGCACTCCAAAAAAAAGTGTCATCAGCATCTGCTCACCGTGTTCTCAAGGGCAGCTGACGCAGCGTTTTGTCAGGACCCGATCCTCTCAAAGACCTCTGGGCCGTCAGGACCAGGAGTCCAGAGTGTGTGGTTCCACAGATGAATCTGTGGCCTGTGAGGCCTCTCGGCAGAATATATATCACTCTGATAATGATGAATTAGTGTCACACAACACTAGGATGTAAATCGTCACCAAAGGCTCCGACATGCAGATAAGGCACGTCGTGGTCAGTGGAATACGGGTCGCAGAAGTCTGGAGTCAAAGAGATGGAAACCCTAATTTGTCTTTTTGGTATCTCTCCTCCAGGATGAAATATCACCTGGTGTCGCGGGCCGACAAGTTTACAGAGGCAGAGGTGAGTTGTTGCCTGGCAACAAGGTGAAATATTGGACGTTTCAACGTGAGATGGCGCTTCGTGGGTACTAGCGCTGGTGATAGCCCTGAACAAGCTGAAGGTGAGCGTTGATGAATACCCAGAATGTGAGGCAATTTAATTTGATTTAAGGACCTTAACTACCAGCTACAGCTTATTACAGAGATCCTTCTCAGCTCCTTTTTCGGGCGCTCTCTTCACTCACAGCACCATTCATAACCTACATGGCCCCTGGCTGGAGACACACTAATCTCATTTGTACAGCAACAGATGTTTCTCTTAAAAACATCCGTTGACTGGGGAGAAAAAAGTGGGCTCGGTATTCTCTCAGGGGATCAAAGAGAGCAGTCTAATCACTATGAAATCTGTCACATTTGTCCTGGTTGGAGGAGACATATTGACTTACAGTAGGCTCTCTTTACTGTGAAACATAAACGTGGCCCCTCTCCGGCAGCCTACACATATTTTACAGGGAATCTTTCATGTTGCGCACATCAAAAGGCTGTGGACAGGGTAGGGGGTGCATATGAAACAACAACCAAAAAAAAAACCCGCGCAAACAAACAGCACAGTGTTCCCATGGCAGCGTGGTGCAGTAATCTGACGGCTGGTTTCCCATGGCTGTGTCTCCCTGCCCCATAGACCTCCGCTCTGTCTCACTGATGGCTCCTGTGATTGCAATCATCCATCTTACTGTCAAACACAAAAAAAGGGCCAGAGAGGGGAAATCAGACTCACCATCTCCCTCTCTCTCTCTCTCTCTCTCTCTCTCTTTCTCTCGCTCCCTTGTGTCCAGCAAACAAGCCGCCCCACTGTGAGCAGAGCAAATACTTGGTCAACTGTCTCGGCGCTCTGTGTGCGTGTGCGCGTGTTGTGAATGTGCGCGTGCATGCTAATAAGATCTACACAGAGAACATGTGTGGGTGTGCGTCTTTGGTTGCCTGTGCCTGTCCATTATGCTGCATGATCAGTCACCGGAGTGTTACACCAGGGAGTTGTGGACGTGTCTGATCTTGCAGCTGATCAAAAACTCCAGAGAGTTGTTCCCTGGTGGCTGCGCATGGAGAAGGCCTCACATCAACACGTCTCTGTTCAGTAGACAGGAAAAACAAGAGGCGAGAGACACGAGGGCAGGGAGGGAGGGGGAGATGAAAGGATGCACAAGGAGGCCGCAGTTAAATATATGACAATGATACATAACTGCACTCATCTGCCTGTTCTGATGGGATAATTGAACGGCAAATGTCAGCTCTGTTGATGTTGAAGTTACGCCAGGTCTGATCCCTCCTCTCATCACAAGAGCTGACTATTTACAAACAGAAGAAGAGCAAGAAGAAAAACCTGCTCCCGTGCTTCATCTCTGTGCAGACGGGACAGATGTGAAGGCGAACCGAAAACAGAGCCAACTGTTGATTAAAGACTGATCACCCACAGACTGAGCCGAGGGAAGATGGAGCGCAGACAGGAAGATGCTCAGGAGATGCTGAGGAGCAAGAGAAGGAAGAGGAAGAGGAGGAGGAAGAGGAGCTCCTGCTGGTTAAAAGTCTCCCCATGCTGTGAAGGGGTGTTAATGCAGGATGTCTGAATGTAATTATGTGTAATTATGGGGAGACGTTAAAATTGTTCCCCTTTGTTAGCGTGACATTAATCCCACACCATTATCTAACGCTGATAAATACTGATAAATGTGCTGAATATGAAATAATTCTAGTCGGGGAAACACAAACAGCAACTGAAGACTGTAAGGTGGAAAAAATAAAAGTAAAAAGAAGATCAAAAACATCAACAAAATTGACAAACTACAATGGAAACCTGTTGAAATTACTGACACTCGACCTCCCGTTGACTTTTTTTTACAAATGAAAACTAAAATCTCAATGGCAGATTAGAACAAAGTCAGTGTAATACTGTCAGGATTAATGCTCCGTCAGCCACCTCACATGAATTGACGCTGAAGCCAAACGCGGCGTTTAGCGGTTCACAGGCCAAATGCTAACTGTTTCAGCGTTTCTTCCCTTTGCCTCCCAGATGTTGGCTCTTCACATGTGATTGGTTTCACTTCATGTAAAGCAGATCTTCTTGGCAGCCCAACACGTACACGTCAGTTTTTTAAGGCAGAGTCTGGCGAGACAGAGAGACAGAGAGACACACACACACACACACAGAGAGAGAGAGAGAGAGGTTTGACGAGCGCACAGCTTTTTCCAAGAACCTGAGGAAACAAAAATGACACAAAAGACTCATAACACTTTATAAGATTACATTTTATTGCAGTGTACAACTGACTATATATATATATATATATATATATAAATTGTATACAAATGTGTTTTAGAATAAACTGGGCTAAGAGCCATGTATAAATGTACCTTGTCATTTTGCATTTAATTCCTTACCTTAAGCTTCTCAAACACACAGGCTCATATACTTATGGTTTTATTTTAAACATGTGCAAGGTACAGTGACTGTAAAAAAAAACAAAAAATAATCAAACAAAAGTTCAAGACCCCATGGCGGTACCCTCCCAGACCTGTTACGGCCTGCAAACCCCCGCGTTTAAGACCAGTATTTTATCGTACAACGTGGAGAGCTGCTATAAAAAATGACACATTTTTGGATGACTCAGTAACAGGATTAAAAATGTTTGCGAATGAAATGTTCAACATCTCACAAAAAAAAAATAAAGACAAACAAAAGTCTAATAAAAAAAATCATTAAAAAATAAATTCAAGAGTTAAAATAAAGAACTGTTTCCAGTTAAGGTAATAAAATTGCAACAACCAACTGATTAAGAACACAGGTGTTGAACATGTCTGACTCTACGTTCAGGTGGAACGTTGTGTTTGTTTCTCTCCCGGCGTTGAACCGTGAACGGGCTGAAGACGTTTGATCTTAATAGTAGAGAAAGACAGCAGGTCCGAAATGCTGCCGAAACCTGATCCTTCAGACGTGTCTGTTCAATCAGAGAGAGAAACAGAAGCCAGGTTTTCTACACCGTGGAAATATCTGGGTACAGGAGGATATTATATTTATATATTATTATTATTAGGGCTGTCAAACAATTACAGTTTCTAATCTGGTTAATCACAAAGTGGCTGTCAATTAGACACTATTAATCGCGAAAAATTGTCATGAATCCATACATAGTAATTAATCACGATTAATAGTATTATTAATAAAAAAAATATGCCAATGAAAAATATCTAAAAATATAAGAGGATAACGTTGATGATTTTTCTGCTGTCCTCTTGATGTGGCTAATGTGAGTCCAGTCATTGTTTTCAACTATATTAACCAGTCTACAGTCCCGAACAATTCAGCTGACTCTTGTGTCAGTCGGACTGTCAGTCGTAGACTGAGTGACTGAGGCCTACTGACCTCCGACCTGAGGTTGAAGCCTCAGCAAACACATGCTGGGAGTAAAGACGGTATTTTAACATTAAAGTGCTCAAATGAAATGAAAACGTTTTCCCCACAGTGTGTCTAAATAACAACTGATGGAATTATTGGATATAAAATTACTAGTAACTTGTTCATTTTGACAGCCCTATAATTAATTTAGGGATTTTTTGAGCATTTTCCTGACCATGAATGCCGATCATGTGCTCCAGGATCAGGACTCTCTCAGCCAGGATCTTCAGAGCCTCTCTCAGCTGCTGCACTGCTTCTCCCTTAGCGACACCAACATTTTTATTTATTTAAAATGAATTATACATCACATGGAACCAGTGCAGAAAAAAAGCCGCAGCAGTGTCCCTTACCTCACTGGAGACTGCCCCCGGCTCCCCCTTTGGCCCTGGTGCTCCCTAACAAGCAGAGTACAATAGTCACGTCATGTCTGTGCTCTTTGTCTCTTCCTGTCAAAAGCTACATTTGGAGAGAATTCACAGACTACAAACCTTCAGCTGGGGCGAAATGGCAAAAAGCTGTGGCCCTAATTAAATTAGGGGCTTGTGTTTGCGTCATTGGTTACAGTAAATTAGGTTTTAGTTTGGAGTATTACTGCAGTATTACTGTATGTGCAGGGAGTACTGTGGAATGAAATGACAGAAACACACTCACAGGTAGGCCCTGCTCCCCTGGTACACCAGGAAGACCCTGTTGGAGGAGCAAAGAAAAGAATTACTGAGAAGAACTGCATTCTCTGAAGAGAAGGTGAAGAGAAGGATGGATGGATGGATAGATGGATGGATGGATGGATAGATGGATGGATGGATGGATAGATGGATGGATGGATGGATAGATGGATGGATGGATGGATGGGAGGATGGATGGATGGATGGATAGATGGATGGATGGATGGATGGATAGATGGATGGATGGATGGATGGATGGATGGGGGGATGGATGGATGGATGGATGGATGGGGGGATGGATGGATGGATGGATAGATGGATGGATGGATGGATGGATAGATGGATGGATGGATGGATGGATAGATGGATGGATGGATGGATGGGAGGATGGATGGATGGATGGATAGATGGATGGATGGATGGATGGATAGATGGATGGATGGATGGATGGGGGGATGGATGGATGGATGGATGGATGGATGGGGGGATGGATGGATGGATGGATAGATGATCGATAGATAGATAGATAGATGGAGAAAGGATTGAAAGAAAGAGAAGAGACAGAATGAGAGCACAAGCAAAAGACAGACAAAGACAGGGAGGATCAGGTTGAGAGCAGAGGTCTGAGGAGAAGCTTGTTCATCTTTAATGTGTTCAAAGGTCAATTAAAGCGGGTGTAGGTTCACAGTTGACCAGAAGGACAGAGTGAAGAAGGAAGTGGACAAAGACTCACACTGTTCCCTGGATCTCCTTTAGGCCCAGCAGTCCCAGGTTTTCCTTGGAGACCTTCCTGACCCTAGAAGAAAAGAGAAGAAACTAATGAGATAAACGACATCATTTTGTGAACCTCCATGTTAGTCTGGCTGATTTGTAATAATTTGTCAAAGGTAGAAAATGTCTTTATTTTCATTTTCTGCTGCTTATTCCTATTCAGGAACACGGGAACTTAAAACCAATCCGAGCAGTTATCAGGTGAGGGGAAGAGAGTTGTTCCACTTAATACAACATATACCACAATATAGGATATATTATATACAGTATATATATATAGTATATATTGTACTATTATATATATAATAGGATACCACAACACATACAATAGATTAATGACTTTCTCGGACAGATACTCACGTCCTGTCCTGGCATCCCTGGTAGACCTGGGGGTCCCTGTGGTCCTGAGGGCCAAACAGTACATTTACATAGAGAATTTTAAAAAGGTTGATGTAACAATAAAGAACATTCAGCAGCAGCCAAGAAAATCGTGTACAACTAATCAGAGATTTTGGTGAATAAACTTTATTTTGTCTTTTTTAATACTATTGTAGTTGTATTATGTCATTATTAATGCTTTTTGATGTGTGTTATATGGCAGCAGTCAACTGTGCTTCATGGGTTTGTTGTTAGCTAGGAAATAACGATGGTTACTACAGACGTGATGACATCATTAAAATATAGATGTATTGGCAGGACGCCACTGACGGTCCAGGTGAGAAATGCACAGTACGCCACTGGTGTACAGGATACAGTGTCTCTCTTTGGAAACCTCAGAGTGCTGTCATGTTCAACTCATTCATTCAACATTATTCTGTTGGTGTCGTCTGACAGAAAACACACAGGATGGTCTTTAGAAATGTCTCTAATCCACACACCTGGGGGGCCGATGGGACCTGTTGGACCAGGGGGCCCTGCGCTGATCCCAGGATTAGGGAGAGCTGAATGGACAGGAAACTCCTCTGGGGAAAATGACAGAAACAGAAGGTTAAACCAAAAAGTTGAGCAGGTGCTCATTGTCCCTCTGTCTCCATCTGTTGGCTTCTTTATCTGTTTACCCTCTCTAACAGGCCCATTCAAACAGCAGCCTGCAGGCCACAGTGGTCCAGTGTGAAGTAACATGGAGAGAAAGTGAAAACGTCCAGACCAAGAATGCAACACTCTCTGTAGCATGGCAACATGGCTACCCACAATGCACCAGGATTGTCAGGTAGTGTTAGCATTAGGGATTTGAATGTCACAAATCCACAGTACTGCAAATACTGTGTTGGTGGAGTCGTCAGAGTCAACGTGCTATGAAAACAGACTGTGTTCGGTCACAGATCTACACCCAGAGAAAATACTCCATTATGGCTTTGATATTTACAGTAGAACTATGTGTTTTCAAAGTTGCTGATCGTCCAAATGAGTCACTTATTGTGTTCTGTCAGTATGAACGAGTTGTCATTTCCCCTTTCACTGCAGCTTCTTTTATTTGAATGGTGAGTGGAAGCGTGTAACCAAATACAGTAGGTGGGGCGTGGACGCATTGTGTCACTGAAGCGAGGTGGGAGAAGCATGAACACTGAGAAACACAAAAACAGTGGAAAACTCCTTCAGACCGTGAGTTCACGCAGTGAAATTCCACTTACGAATCCTTTTTTTAATTCCAGTACGTACGTATTTGAAACAGTTCTCTATCCAAAATCCTACATATTTGCAAATGTCCATCTTTTCGCGTAGACTGAAGGGGGTTAATGTAAAGATCTAAAACTTCATGGAGACTTAATCAGGACTTATCCACAGACTAATTATGAACAGGATCAAAGAAACAGACTGTCTCCGCATTAGCCTGGAGTTACAGACATTGCGGCGTTGAGTACATCTGTGGCACGTCTATAAAACGCTCCATTAGATCCTCAGAATGCCTCACAAATCCACCTTTTCTGTCTACACCATATATAGACTATATTGGCAATGTGGACCTCAGCTCTCCCTTTAAAAAGTGAACAATGGTAACAACAAACCAACAACTATAACTATGGAACACAATGGGTTTTTTCTTTTTACAGTTTATATATATATATACAGTTTATATATACAGTATACATGCTGCACTAATAGAAACGGGCCACAACAGACTGAAGTTAATTTATAGGTGTCGTTCCCAATCTCTGCTAACCCGGCACAAAGGCCCTTCAGTGATGTTGTCAGAAGTGCTTGTAATTGAAGTGGTTTCACCTCCTAACCCAGTGATTCTCAACCACTGTACCATGGCACACTAGTGTGTCCTGAGAGATCATCAGGTGTGCTGTGGAAAATTTCACTTCACTTCAGTGGTCTGGACTGGACTGCAAATAATTTGTCTTTGTCTATGCCACAGTGACAGGGTGTTCCAGGAGGAGGCAGAAGATGGCTATAACAACTAAAAAAGAAAATACATACATATATATATATATATATATATACGTATATTGTATGTGTGTGTATATATATGTAAATGGTTAATTAAATGAGTATAGATATATGCTGTATGTGTGTAAAATATATATAATTGAAGCTGCAATACACTAAGCATGAATTGTAAACAACATTAAAATGTAAATTTAATGCAAATCAAAGGGATATTTGGCGACTTATCATGTGACGTCTCAGAGAAGGCTGAGCTTCAACAGGGTTTAATACGCACCGCTGCTATTGGAACGTAAAAGAAATATATTCAGACCAACTGTGTTTAACATTTAATTCAGTTAACTAGTTATAGAGTTGAACATGTGTTAGCGTCAGGTTATCATGTTATCTGTAAATAAAATACAAAATGAAACAGTAGATATCTGACAGTGTGTTCTATGACTGATTTCAGAGGCAGCTGTGGTTCTCCTGTCGTCTTAAAGCAGTCGTCACTGATATGTACAAAGAGTTAAGACATCAGTATACACAGAGAGTTAAGACATTGTGGATGAACAGTGCTGAGTTTCATCAGCAGTCAACAGTAGGATTAAATCTGCTCTGACACTGATGGACAGCAGCAGCTGCTGCGTCTGCAGCATGACCCGTTTAATGGAGCAGTAAATTCTGGGATGAATCCTAACAGAAAACATGAATGGAGCCCATGTCGTGCTTTGTTCTCAGCATGTGTAAAATATTTTTCAAATGCACTTGTAGGAATAAATTTTGTTTGAAACCACTGCCGGCACGCTGCCACTTCCTTTCCACTCTACCATACGCTCAGGGTCAGCCTTCCCCTCTGCTCTTACATTATGGTTACCGTCGGCAGAGACGGGCCTGAACGCAGCACATTTGTATCTGGAACTAATTTTCTCATGTTTTAGTCTCCCCAAGTCTGGCTGCCTCCCCAAGAAACTCCACATGACTGGCAGACTGTGTCCGCTCTCATGGCCTGCCTTGCTTTTGGCTTCTGGCCACCTCCAGTTCCCCCTAAACCCAGACTGTTGCGCTGACAGCTAACAAATTAGCCCTGATTTACAGCCAGTTGGCCCTCCTCGGTTTACACGGCCCCACAGACCCAAATCTGCATAGTTTCGGAGCCGCAGACACAGTCCCGGGCCCAGAAAGACAGAGCCAGCCAAAAGTCTAATAATCAGAGCCAGAAGCCTGGAGCTAATGATTACAGTGTGGGCTTATACTGCCTCCCTGTGGTAAAAGCAGTTTATTGACAGCTTTGTACATGTGCTGTTTCTTTGAATCTTCAGATGTGGTCCGGGAGACATCTATTACAGTGGGACACAAAGGGTTTATTAGTCAGTCTGGACGTGTGTGTCTGCATGAAGACCGACGGCACAACAGCATCAAAGCTGCAGGAAACAGTCACACGACGGAAAAGGTGTGAGGGGAGTTCAAAGACGCTCTGACAGATGAGCTCTGTGTTCTCAGGTAATTATGTCATTATCAATTCTGTGGACATGGAACGTCAACATGGTCAACAAAACATCAGCTTCTACCTCTTAATGGGTTTCAAGGTCGTGGGGCGAGACCCAGTTACAGCACCTCATGGCTGAGGATGTGGTCCACCAGAGACAGTTCACCAGGCCACCACTGGTGGAGTTAGTTTTCTTTCTTAGAATAGTAAAGATGTGGTACGTGGTACCAGGAGGGGGCCAAGGTGGTGTTGAAGTAATTTAGGTGAATTTTCTCTTCATATGAATGACAGGTTCAAATGAGCAAATACATTTTTCAAGAAATCAAAAGCCTGATTGATTTTAAATTGACAAATAGTGTGGCAAGTTTTTTTTGTTTTTTTTTCTGGCTGCTCACTATGACACTATACTTTTGTCCCAAAAACACCCCAACACATTAACATGGAAAGTCATTCTGTTACCACCAGAAATTGAACCAGTGACCTTCTTGCTGTAAGACAAGACCACCGACCACTGTTCCATTGTACGGCCACGACAGAACCCCTTCAAATGGAAATGCCACCATAACAGCTGAAGTTGCCCTTTCCGTGGTTAATATTCACCACACGACCTCCGTCCCTGTGCTGGACCACAGCAGAGACAGAAGAGAGCTGTATTAAGAAGGACATGTTGGATGAATAATGGCCTGATATGTTCCCCAACAGATCCTGCCCCTGGGCTAATCCTCTGATTTATACGCCGGTACTTGGCCGCGTTGTTGTCGGTGGTGGTGTGAGGTTGCAGTAAACAGTGGCACAGCAGCAGCGAAAACACAAGGAAGCAATTAAAGTAAACCTAAACAGCCTGTCTCTGGGAGGAGAAACAATACTCTGTCCGTTCAGCTGTAAGGCAGCTCCTTCACAGCTGCGAGCACATATTTTTTAGGTTAACACTACACTGCACCACACTTCATTCTCACGGCCTCCACCTGCAGCTGTCACTTTGGCCAGTGTTCAAGGTGAACCTGACAGGACGTCCAGTGGACGGACACACGCATGAGACCTGTGAGTGTGTGTGTGAGTGGAGAAACACATGGTCAAGAGCAGCGATGAAGTGTGAGAACGAAGCCGTGCTTCTGTCATTGATTGAAACCATGCAGTGACTGGGTGGCTGGGTGGTTTCGGTCCGGAGGTTAATGACGTGTGAAGCGTTCTGTTTCTCGTTAGCGCTCGTTAAGGTTCATCAGGGACAATTTGGTTTTTAGATTTGACAGGACACATTTAAATATTCAACACGCTGCACACCTTGGTCGTCCACGTGAAAGACATCACCACGCTCTCTGACGGGAATGGAGCTGAGCACAGGAGGACCAGGTGGACCTGGAGGACCAGGAAGACCAACTTCTCCAGGTAAACCTCTGTCTCCCTTTGGTCCTGTAAAGATTAAAGAAAAGACAAAATAGAATTTGGAATTTAATCTCAAACTTCATAACAAAGTCAGTCAGTCCAATAATGGATTAGACCAATGAAAATGTTTTACCAACAGGTCCAGGGAACCCTGGTTTTCCTACTGGTCCTGCGGGTCCTGTAGAGCCAGGAGGCCCTGGAGGTCCAATGGGCCCTGGTGGCCCTATACCTCCTGGTAGAAGAACAAAAAAAATAAGAGAGCATTTAAAGACACTAACTCTCAACAGATGAAAATGATAAAGAACAAAAATAGTTGACTGAGCTAATAAAAACATTACAGTTTGGCTTATAGAGAGAGATCTATAACAGACAGAAGGATGGAGGTCAAGTGAGGGAGGAGAGAGGAAAGAAGAAGGAAGGAAGGATGATTAAAAGAAATGAAAAGGAAGGAAATGGATGGATATAAAGAAGGAAGAAGAATGGAATGAAAGTGGGAAAGGAGGAATAAAAGGAGAATAACTATGGAGAGAAGGAAGAAAGGAAGTAAGACAGATAGGAAGGTAAAAAGGAAAGGATACAAGGAAAGAAGGAAGGGAAGAGTCCAAGACTCTTTCAGGAAGCATGTAAGAAATGAAAGAATGGCAGAAGGAAGAGGAAGGGAAGGGAAGGAAGGAGGAGAGGAAGGAAGGAAGGAAGAGAGGTGTGAGTCCACGACCCCTTCAGAAAGCTTCTCTTGTGCTGTCACCTGGTGGCAGGTAGGGTGGTAGTGCAGCAGGAGTGGGTTCAGGTGAGTCCACCTCGTTGTCAGTGGATCTGTCAGGTGAAGTGTGCAGGGTGGGCAGAGGGGAGCGGTGGTCTTCTAACAGCCTGATCTGAAACAACAGCTCAGATCAGTCACATCTGCTCCAACTCAAAGACCTGACACGGAGACGCGTGAGATCAGAGCCATCGACTCTTTACCTTTGATTCAAGTGCATTTATCCTGCTGTTCATGTCAGTGACGGTGGTGCAGTTCATACACTCTGTTGAAAAGAAAACACACACACACAGAGAGTCACAGAAGTGTTTAGTCTTCACTGTACAGGTCACCAACAGGCAGTCGCTGGTTCTCAACATCGGTCACTCCTTCACAGTCATGTCTTTTGTATCTGTATCACGTGATCTAACAGCGAGCAGGTCCAGCCAAGAATTCCATCTACAGTAAATCATGTCACTCACTCACTGAATAAACACTATTACACTCTGTCATAGTATTCACTGTCCCTCTGGCGCACACACACACCAAACTCTAACCCGGTGTCTAATCAACACTATTTTATCTTGAACTCCTTCCATGTATTGTTTCTATATCTGATATTATCTGTGCAGCCTGTCGGAGGCGCTGTTCTGAAGTGTGCTGCCAATAACCACCATACATCTTTACTCTTCACAAAGAATACAAAAACAAATCAAAGACGCATTTTAAACATCTACATTTTACGTTTGAAAATCTATGAAAATAAAAAATAAACTTATTTTTCAGATTTTCACTATAATTTATTCATTTAATTTATTTAACTGCATTCGTAGAAATACAGCAAAAAAAATAAAAATAAAGTTTGCATTTCACGTTTGTTAAGTGGCCTGGTTATTTAAAACCCAGACAGAGAAGATTCTGCATCAAGACAAGTGGAGCCAAGGGTCTAACCTCTGACCTCTGTGACCTTCAGAAGGCTTAGCCTTACTATTGATTTATGTTAAGAGTTCACACACCTTGTAGCTCACACAATTTTAAAAATTCAAATATTGAAGCGTTACAGTAGTAAAAAAAAATCCTGTTTTCAATTTTCCGACTGATTGACTTTAACTCATTCATCAATAAGATCATTTTCTTTTCTATTCTCTAGTAGGAAGTCCAGGGTTTCACCTGTGTTCCACAAGGACTGGTGGAGAACATGGGGTTTTTTTAAAACACAGATGTGGCACAAGTTTTTAATCAAAAAAGAAAAGTAATATCCTAATGTTAATGACAAAGGGACTCCAAAAAAGGCCTTTTAATAAATCAGACCTAAAAACCTAAATGCAACACAGTGAGACTTCACAGCTGGATTGTTCTTTTTCCATATATGTACTTGTTCCTATAGAGATTATTGACAGACATGACTTTTTATGTTGGTTTCAGTCTGTTTTGAAAACTGTGGTCATTTCTGTCACAAACGATGCCTTTCTGGCCACCACTCAACCACAAATACCCACTGTCAAGCTGTGCTGCAATTGTGGTTTCTTTTACATGCGCTGGAACCCGAAACCCCAACAGAATAACACATTTTCATACATTAAAAAAAAACATTTGTTCTAAATCCGAGCCTTTGCTCTGGTCTACGGCTCATATGAGCTGTGGAATGTCAGCTGTCAGTCCCCACTGATGGGACCCACCCACATTGTGGTCATAGCAGGGACACGGAGAATGAGGAACAACTGGTGCTCATAAATAGCTTACTAACAACAAAATGGACCCAAACAGCCCCGCTCTGCCGAAATCATCGTCTTCAACCGCCACACACAGGTCACTGGTGGCCGCCGCTGAGGTTTGTGGCCCACTGAAATAGGACACACTGAGTGTCTGCAATCATCTGCATCCACTGCAGTGGTTGGTCAGACGGTGTGGGAGTGGTCTCTCAGAGTACCATCTTGGACTGCAGCCACAAACGGAAACAACAATCAACAACCGAAAGCATTCCTCAGGATCCATCAACCCAAATACTGAGGCCAGGGCGCCCGCTGGGACCAAAATGAACCCATTCTGGTCTAGGTGTTGTGACTGAGTGCACTGAGGTTTCTGAAGCATCGGTGCGTGTCACAGATCTCTGTCAGTACAATCACAAGCTAACGTGAAAAACCAGGGCTGATGAGATAAAAAAAACTACAGAGAAGAGTTTGGGTTCTTTTTTAACCAAAGCAGCTCCACCTAAAGGTAGAGCTGTGTATTATATTGTGTTTTGTCAAAGAGAACCTGTGTATCCCAGTGATCCCAAGATTGATGCTGCCTGGAACGAATACTCCAGGTGGGGAGTGATGGTTGCTGGATGTAAGAATCTGTAATGAATGATCTTCTATCTTTAATTTACTTCCAGTTCACTAACTTAGTGTGAGCCTATTTAGTTGAAGACAATGCTGATATACCCGCAAAAATTGAAGAAAGACACACCAAGATCTTTTTCTTCAAGAGCTCTAAATCTCTCTCTATTTCTTTTAGTTTTATAGTCATCTGCTGCCACCTACTGGGCGGGTATTAAATTGTTCTGCATGTCATTGTTGCCTAGACAAAAGTTGTCCACCCCTAATGATCTTTCACAGCACAGTGGTTGGGTATACGTATATTGCATCCCCTGCAGGGGAGGAAGGGAGTTTACGTCCATAAAGAAAAAAGAAGTGATCACTTGTCGCGTATTTGTCCTTTCATGGACTGTTTTTGGACATGGTCTTATTCGGCTTCCTGTTCACACTTGACTGGACTTCAGAGAACTGACTCTGTGGTCATTTGGCTCGAATACTCCAAATGTACTGCAGTTGCTTTGCTGTGAACTAGTGGACAAAGAAATAAGCATCGCAGCCAAGGGATTTCCTGCTCCCCACCCTGAAGAAGAAAGCACTCTCTGCTCCATTCTTAGCCTTATCTTTTTACAGATAGCATGTGCAATTATGATCTCTGGCCCACATAGAGCCATAAATAAGCCAACCATTACCTCTTGTGCCATTACACCACAGCACCATGACCGAACATGTGAACCAGAACACAACAAGTACATTTCTTTCCATAGGTGGCGGAGGAGAATCTTTGTTCCGGCAGTTAAAATTTAATTACGCTGGGTTAGAAAACCAAACTTCCGCTCCGCTCCAGACGATATTTAAAACAGGACCACAGTTATGGAGTCTGTTTGGATCCATAATTACACCATGGCAACACAGGACAGGGTTATTATTCTTGGACTGAGCTCAGCTCATGGGAAAGAATCAGAATCATGTTGTCTTTAGTACAGAGCAAAATAAACCTGCTGTACAATAGAAAGTGAGTTTGAAATATGTAAACAACGTAACTTCTCGAGAATGGTGCAAATAATCAGACAAAAAAAACAAAAAAAGAGCAGACAAAGGGTTTCAGATCAAACCTCCAGGCAGGGCTTAGATCATCTGAAAGATCTGAAGATAATGTTTCATTCAAATATCAGAGGAGACAAAACATTAGGATCACATGTCATCACCATAAATGATTTGAAAGCAGCCAAGGATTAACCAGTGTTTCCTGTCAGGACTGTGTGATCTACTGATCTATTGCACAAGACGACGGAGGCTTTCTGACAGACTGCGGTTACACATCTGACAGATTAGGCTGGAGATCATCACCTGTGTTTGTGTGTGTTTATATGAAGGTAAATCAAAACGTTCTCAGACAGATTAAACCTCCTGTCATCTACAGACTAAACCGAGCTGATTTTCTACATGAAAATCAATTTAGCTCCTTTGAAACGTTCATTCAGTTTTAGAATAAGAGTCACATGTGGCAAGATAAAAA